AAAATACTTACGTTTAAACTTACGTTTAAATACCAACTTTACAAAAACCAGTCTGCACTTACCCCACTTCACCTTAATAAATTGACGTATTTTATGGCATTCTTTAAGATCTAATTGCCAATTACAATTCTCATAACAAGAATTTTACGCTTGCTTTTGACTTAACAACTGTTTCATACCGTGATACTTTATATCGACATTGATCAACAATAAATAAAGAAACATGTGAATTAATAATATACATGCTTAATAATACATATACATATATATGAATGCCTGTAAGATAATAACAAGAATATCTAAGTAATACAAAAATATTTAATGTCTAAGTAATATAGAAACATCCACTTAATTTCTAATGAATATTATTTACAACTGTTACAATTTCAATTTGATCCAACTGTTCCATATTATTCCCAGAATACGTGGGTGTCGTCGCCAAAGGACACAATATTTCCAGAAACGATTCCAGAAGAGAGTTCTGGTGCCGAAGACGAGCACGTAGTAAGTATTCACAATAAACAATTCCTAATAAAGTCTATTTTTGATCAACAAAATAACAGAGTACATGTATCAGGTAATCTTCAGGTTGCCGTCCCTTAGCGAATCAGAAAAAGCACTCGACGGGGTATGAAAAACTTCTATACTGCTACTTAGTTACGGAACCAATAACCAAACATACAATTTTTGAAATTATTTTAGGGCGAAGCTAGTATTTTTCATGTAGCTATGGGGAAGACAACCGGTTTTTCGAAATTAACGATAGAACAAGTTACAGCGATTTCAGCATTCGACTCTTGCAGACAGTATCCTCAAAAGCCTATAAGCATGGGGTTGGTGAAGACATTTCACTTTTTTTTTAATGTTAATTGTGTCACGTTTTTAATTAGATAAGGGCTTTAATATCATAGTACAAGAAGACATGTGCTCATTAATAGATTTTTTATTGTTATGTGATCATTAATAGATTTTTGTGTAGGTTCACTATGTTACAAATTTCAATATGGCGGAAAAAATGTTTTCGAACATTAATTTAAATCATAATCTATTATATTAAAATTTGACAATTCGTTTCAGTTTGGAAAGCAAATAAAAACTCTATTGTATGTATATTCTATTTTATTTTATTTTGATTAAAATTAGATATTTCTGTTTTTTAGTATCGTAAAAGAAATATTTCGAATTTGTTATTAATCGAAAAAATTCATTTTAGTGAATTATTCATATTTCACCATAATTTGTATTTTAATTCAAACTATCCATAAAATACGTCTAAATTTTAACTTATTATATTACTATGCTTGTTCTGAAAACATATAGCTATTTAAATTTAGCGCCTATTTATGGCGTAACCTCAAATTATTCTCCCAGTTACATAAATATACAAAAAATCTTCTTGTACCATGCTCAATGTATAATGATGTTATTAGAGATCCATTTTGTAGCAAATGTGTTATTAGGCTTCGTTTTTTTTAAGTAACGTCTTTATGTAACATGTTGACAACCATAAAGATCGCCAACGACCGACATTATGAATCTCATTTTTCTTTCATTAAATTATTTATCAAAGTTTAAGAAATCAGATCCATGTTTATGTTTGTAATAATTTTTCCATTTTCTATGATGAGATTTAAGAATTGTTACGAATTAAAGTAGAAAATACACGAAATTATGAATTGTGCTACTTATAATGGATGAATTCTGCTTGATGATGGCGAATGACCTGACAAATCTAAGAGTCTATAGCTCGAGCTAGTAGTTAATGGCCGTAGGTTTATGACAGATTAGTTGCTTAATGGATTGATTGATCCTAAAAGTAAAATTGGAGTGACTCACAAATAATTACAGTTGAATAGGTGACTGGAAATGTATCGTAAATTCCTGTTTTTAACGTGAATTTTGAACAGATGCAAACTTTTATCATTTATTAATTCTAGAGTAAATATAATTTCGTTTTTTAATATTGTTAATATTGAATATTTTAGATATTGGTGTACGTGTGGTACTCATATTTATCTTTCTGATGTAAGGAGCAATATTTTTCATTTACTAATTAATCAAATAAAATGTTTTGCTACTTTCAAGTCCTTGTTTTGTTTTTATTTTTAATCGACAATTGAAGAAAATATTTCTTCAAACTTGAATAAACTTAAATTTTTAATTTTGACGTGAAACTGTTTTTACAATTATTTTACAAAATTTTTAAATTTTTGTTTAATTGACAGATTAATATTAGTTATTCAATTTTTTATATTTTTTAGGAATTTATACTGGTTTAGTACAATGTTCAGAGTTTTTGAAACTTTAGACTTAAGTTTTGTTATAAACTTTTTTAGGAAATTATGTTTGAGTTTATTTTACAAATATAAAGAATTGTAATAATCTAAAAATTAGTCCGTATATATTTATTAATCAAAAATTAATTAAATTTGAAAAAAGTACAGTTATTTGTTCCAACTATCATTTTCAGTCTGAAAACACAAAATCAAAGATTTGTTTGATTATACAAATAAAACTGCTATATTCTGCCATTTTTTTTTAGAAATAATGTGTTATTTTTAATTTGTCTGTAATTATCATTTTTATATACTTCTAACTCGATATTATCATTTTTAACAATTTCTAATTTCTAATAATTTTCAATTTACTTGTAATTATCATTTCTAATAATTTTCAATTTACTTGTAATTATTATTTCTAATAATTTAAAATTTACTAATAATTTCCAATTTTCTATCAATTTTCATTTCTAATAATTTCTAATTTACCTGCAATCTGTCAGTTTAAACTACATCAAAATCTAAAATTTCCACCAGATATTTTGCATTATCACTACAGTACCAGATTACCGGTCATAGGTGACCTTTATGGCAGTTAACGTTTTATCAGCTTAACTAAAGTAACTTTCGTGCAAGATGACGTCTTGTAAGCGATTAACTGATATGTTAGAAGCACCGAGAAAGAGAAAGAAGATCACAAGACCGAAAAGGAAACACAGGATACGAAAGCGAAAACTTCTACAACGCAGAAAGGTCCTGGTGATTCTGCTGCAGGATTAACAAGCAGCTGTGCTGCTATCGAAGCAGATGTTCGAGCTGCTACTTTTCTTGATGTAGCTGTTCTGAGATGTCTTTTTGTTCCACAATGGCAAGAGGAAGGAGTTCATTGGGCTCTACAGTTTTTGTACCAACGGTAATTATTTTTATAACATTTCTTCATTTTTTTTTATTTTTTATTGCAAATATTGTTTTGAAAATAATACATTGCTAATGTTCACGCGCTGGGTAAAATATTAATTATTTATAGCTGATTTCGAAGGTTGTAAATCTTCGTCGACCCATGGCGTTTCCACAACTTGTTACGGTAGTGGAATTATATGTAGAGTTAGTATTATAGAGTAGAATTGATAGAGTGGCTCAGAGTCCTCCACACTGGTGTGCCCAGGTCAATGAAGGATGTAGTTCATCATCCCACTGGTAGTAATGATTGTTGTGTGTTGAAGTCGTTGATAGTGACAAAGTTAATGTAAGACTGACCGAAGTAAGTATATTCTAAGGAAGCTGA